CAGGGTATCGGCTCGGGGGTAGTACTATAGTGGCTAAGACTATAAGGGGTAGTATAGGTTAAAGTCCCCTATAAGGACGTATCGGCCCCGTAGCAGTGCCGTGTCGAATATATCTTATAGGGGCGTATTTTAGGGAATCCTAGCTAACTAGTAGTTCTCTAAGTAAATCGACTAGATTATAAGGGTATTGTCTCCGGTCCTAAATATAACCGCGTAGGTATTGTGGTAGGCCCGCTACGTCTATATATATAGCGAGTATCTTTTATAGATATATAAGAGGGCGTGGCCTCCTCCCTAGATTAGCCGGTATACCCCTTAGGAGGGGTAAGTAGGGCTTTTCGTGAAACGGTTAAGGCCGGGTTCCTGGATTACTATTATATTGTACTCGGCGCGGCACCGGGGCGGTAGCTCCCGCCACGCCTAACTCCTCCCTATATTCCATGAAAGGACGTGGATTTTTATTAATTAAAGGGAGGGGGGGTTAAGATAGCGTGCCCGGTATGACCGGGGTCTAGCTTTAGGGTTCCTACTATAGTGCCTTATTAGCCCCGCGGGGGACTATATAGGCGCTTATCGAGCTTAGTATCGGGGAGCCCTCCTATCCTCTAGTCCTTTTCGGGGGCTAACCCCTACCCCTACGGAGGGGTTAGTCCTAGTCCTAGGCGATAATAATTGGAGGGAAGATCTACGGCTACCGCGGGTATACCGCTTCGGTCTAGCGGGTGATATTAAAGTCCCTGGCTCGGTATTTATACGCTTCGCGGGTCTTCTCGGCCTCCTTCTTTAGTAGTCGGTATAAATCGTTAAAGGTATTATAGTCTCCGGTATAAGCGGTATAGCGGCGGGGGCGCTTAGGCGCCATAGCTTCGTAGTATCCTAGGCCCTATAGATGCGCTAATTTAGGCTTAGCATAATAGCGGTATACCCTCTCCGCGGTAAGGTAGCCGTTTACCCAGTAGCCAAAGTATAGGTATTTATAGTATCTTAGGGGGCTAAGGTTAGGATCGTATAGCTTATAGATCTAGCTGCACCCTTTAAAGAGGAGGGTATTCCGGATAATGCTCGCTGCTCCTTCCGGTAAAGCCGATTTGATAAGGAGAAGCGCTACCCTGCCGGTACCGCGGCGGGGTACCCGTTATCGTGCTCGGATAATTTTTACTTCGGGGTTCGTGTCTTATAGGGATACTAGCAGGTCTTCTTCGGATAAGGCGTTAAGGGTCTCCTAGGGGATAGCCTTAGCTAGGGCAGGGTAAGTGCGTACGGCTAGGGTAGCTCCTTTACCGAAGGCCTTCTTAATCTATTATTCCTCGTGGGTGGCCTACTATTATACCCCTTCGGTAAAGGTAAGGTAGATATCTCCGCTCGATAGCTTCCGTGCCGCTACGGTATCGTGTCGGGTAGTCGTGGTATTTATAGCTTAGATAATTTCCTTTAGGGTCCTGGCTTTAAGGGGCTAGTCTTCGGGGTGGGTTCCTTAGCGGATAATTAGTTCCCGGTAATGCCTAGCGGGTATCACTTTAGGGGGGGCCGGGTCCCGTGGCGGTACCGCCACGGGTACCCGGGCTATAATATTAGCCTAGGTCTTTTTCGTACCGCTTATTCCTTTTCGGAGTTCTTCTCGGATAACGTAGCGGATAATAGCGTGTAGGTATACTAGCGGTAACACGCCGGCGTCCTTACGGATATTACGTATCGTGATTAATTCCTCTACTAGCTCCACGACCTATTCGATCGTGTTCCCGTTAGCTAGTAGGGCCTAAATTTCTGCCTTAATCTTAGGGACTCTTAGTTTTAGGGGGCGCGACGGTCCCCTCTTGGTCTTATATCGGTTCTGCGCTACATCCCGCTAAGGGCGAGGGGGGGAACGCTCGTATTACGAAAAGTAGGTCCGTTACGAATTCTGCGTCGTCGCGGTCGGGATAACATTATCCCACGTTTCCTCCAGTTATACCGTAGCGCCGGTATTACGGTACCGCTACGATGATATCTCGGGAGGGAGGCGGTGGTTATAGTCCCCGTCTCGGTGGTTTTATCGATTTTACTCCTATTATACGCCCGTGGTTATTATGTTTATAATCTGCAGCCCAGAGTTTTTTGAGAATACTTTTAATACCTCGCCGAAAATAAACTATATAGAGTCGAATATAGCGAGTCACCTATACTTCCTATAATTCTTTTAGCCGATATCTTTCCTAACGATATTTCCCGAATCCTTAAATCACCAGTAAGGCCTAATCTAAGGTCACCCTAAGTAGACTGATACCGTGGAGGTATTTCTACTAAATTAGTATTATATACTTATCCTTTAGGATATAGAAGACCTATCGAAATATATAAAGATATATCTCCGTTATTTCTAAGTTTATATAGCACCTTACTAAAGGCAGTACTAGAATATATTAGAAATAATCGAGAAACGATTCCGAACCGATTCAGAAAGATTCAGAAATATTCAGAAAGATTCAGAAATATTTAGAAAGATTCAGAAATATTTAGAAACGATTCGGAAATAATTCGGAAATAATTCGGAAATATACCTCGCTCTAAGTTAGGACTATACTAAGCCTAAATAATTTCTTTTTACTCTATACCGCTAATATATTTATAGTTAGTATCGACGAAGAAAAAAGTTATATCGGGGAACTTCTATTACTTTACTTACTCTATAAAAAAATAGATCACTATATAGTTATATCATAATTAGTATAAATGCTAAATATACTAGAGTAGTTTTATTAGAATATATCGTGTATTTTACTAAGTAGAATACTTATATATAACCGTTAGTTTACTTCTTTTATCTACTTAAGTACTAAAGTAATACTCCGACCGCCTTAAGGAAATAGGATAATCTATTATTTACGAATAATATATCGAAGGTAATTAGTATTCGTAAGACTAGTATAGATATCTATAATTATCTGCCCTTTAAACTCAGCGATAAATTCCTTAAGTTCACTTAATTTAAGGAATACGGTTAGTGTTATTGTCGGTTTATTACTTTTCGCGACTACTCTAGTAATCCTATTAATCACTAATAAGGGGGCTTTTAATAAGGGTAAAGGAGGGTAAATATATATTCTATAGGAGGTTATAATAATCTATAGTATTATATCGAAATCGTATAGAATAAAAAATCGAAATTCGATATCGTATTTTCGACTTTAGATTTCGCTAGGCCCCGCGAGATAAACTTTATCTATTTCTAAGCGTTAGTGTATCTAGTTAAAATATTACCGGAAACGTTCCCGAATCGTTTCCGAATCGTTTCCGGGATATATCTAGGTTATTTCTGGATTAACTCACTATATATCCTTCGTTTTCTACGATTAGTGGTGAAAAGGTAATAGTTCTTATTTAGATTCGTAAGGACGCCGTTTATTATAGGATTAAAAACGCGTTTAATAAGGTCTATATAAGGGTAATAGACTAATAGAATAATCGCGAGAAAACAATAACGCGTTATATCCGATAGTATCTAAGACTAGCACCGTATACGATACTATTAGAAGTTCGTAAGGTGCTATACTTAATTAGAATAAATCCAAAAGGATATAGAATTTTATAAGGTTATACTTATATAGTAGATACTAGAGTCTACTACTAGAAAATATACTTAGTCCGTATTTATACAGGCAGTCTTTTTAGAGAATCTTCCTTTTACTGCTTAAGCCTATCTAAAATATATTAGTATTGATTGTATATTATCTAAACACGTTTTCCTTACTCTAAAGCTTTCTTTTACACGGTTAGCTCTTTTACCTTAGCCCTTCGTATACTAATCTAGTTAAGTAATTAAGGCGTAACACTCTTATAATAGAAGTCTAATTAGGATAGATATTAATAAGCTTTACCCCCTTAACACGTATATAGATAACGAAAAATAGGGGTATTACTAAATGCAGCACTGGTCGCCCGGAAACTAGGTTATTTTCGAGCTATTTCGTACTAGATCTAGAGATATATAGATTAATAGAAGTTATAAATAAGGTAAATAAAGCTAAACCTTACTATTTTCTAGGGGGATTTCTTCTCCTCGTTACTTAAAACCTCTATTAGCATAATTATAGCTACCCTAGCAGGAGATATTTAAGGTATCTTAGGAATTCCGGCTATATAGAAGATATTATCCACCTCTACAGCGCGAGAGCCTAAGGCAAGTCGTCTATTACTATATATAAAAGCAGAGATAAGAATTAAGATACTTTTATTATTACATAGAATCTAATATTAGTTAGTAAAATAAAATATAATATAGTATTTCGTATATATTCACCTAATTAACTTAATTCCTTTAGATTATATCCCGTGGAGGTTATCGGCTCGGATAGAGTCTATAAAGATACGGTCTTTGATTTTTATTCTTAATAAATCTTAGATTCTGAAAATCATCTTCTTAAATCTTCTAAGCCTTTAAGCTCTTCCCGTTACTAAATCTTACTATCCGGATCTAACTCTGTATAGGAAGTTATCTTAAATAAATTCCTAATCGTTCCCAAAACGTTTCCGAATCGTTTCCGAATCGTTTCCTAGTCCTTCTTTAATTTATCACTATCTTCACTATAATATTACCCCTCTCTATTTACCCCTCTATTAACGCCTAATACTTACTTAAGGCACACACGTATATTATATAACCTGTATAGGCTATAACCTATAATAACTATCAGGTTAATATATCGCCCTACTCCGCTCCACACCTACCCTTAGCTTAGCCTCGCGCTTAGATATCAGTTTATCTATAACCTCTTCCGTGTGCTATCTTCCATTCCCCGTAAGGTAGTGTAGTACCAATAAGGTAGTTAAGGTACCTTAGTATAAATCAAGTTAAGTCATTTTTATTTTATTATGATAAACAGTCACTTCACACCGCCATAACTGTCCAGGCGTTATCAAACACTCGGCTGTACTCACCGACGTATCGGTACTTCCATATCAACCCCAGCCACAACAACTCGAGACCAAGTGGAACTTCCCCAGGTCCATTCGGCGAAAAAAGAGGCCCGCCATCCCCTCCGAATCGGGTTTGATGCCTTACATCTAAGGATAAGGCCTCGGCGCTGGTTGGTGGGCTGAAGGCAAATCGGCTTGGCCCGTGCAGTTGTCTCGCTGTGCCTCCCACAACCGTGCTTCGCCCCTCAGCTGCCCCTGCCCCGCCTGTCTGACCTGCCTTTTTTCCAGTATTCTCTCCCAGCTTCGGTTCCTCTTCATCCTCTCTTCCAGTTGAACCAGCACTCAAAGCAGGGCAGTTTATTAGGACACATCACCACCTATCTCTCGAGACTCCATTCTCCCACGCTCAAGTACTCAGTAACACTTTTCCTTTGGCTCTCGTCAATCCATTCCCTTCAGCAATCACATATTTACAGCGAGACCCTTGTTCAAGCCGTCGGTCGCTCGCCCCCTTCTCCCATCCAAAAACCCCCTTTCCCACGGATAACCCCCGGAAAGTCGAGTTTATGTCAATTGAAAATCTCAAGACCTACGGTATGTTTCCACCCTGGCGAGCTCCGGGAACCTCTTACCCGTTGATCCGTTTGCCTGTTGCTACCTCGATTCAACGGCGTGGCTTCCTGGTTGGGTCTTGGCTTGTATCGCAGTACATCGCTAACCACTTTGACATCCGACACAGACCCCTTCGCCGAAGCCGACGAAGACACTGATGAGACGAAGCAGACTCAAAATTATATCCATATACGTATCCAACGTACGTCCCTCTCCTTCCCGCCCGCCCATTCGACTCCCATACTACCTCACATTTTTCCTATTTCGCCCAAGTTCTACTGTTGGGTAAACGAACTGACACCGGCGACAGAGCGTAATGGACGTAAAACCTTGACGACCGTTCAGGGTCTTCCGAAGAAATTCGACCGAAAGAAGATCCTCAAGGTGATCAAAAAGAAGTTCGGTACGTCATAACCCCCCGCTGTGTTCTATTACATTCGAGGGATTTTTCTACTAACCCCCTTAGCCTGCAATGGCACCATCGTCAATGACACCGAGATGGGAGAGGTGATCCAGCTCCAAGGCGATCAACGCAAGGATGTGCAAGGATTCCTCACAGACAAGAAGGAAGGCCTAGAGTTGGACCCTAAGTCTATCAAGGTCCACGGCTTCTAGGCCTCCCCACAAGTCACCGTCGTGTCGTGTCGTGTCGTGTCGCGTCACCAGTAGTGGGGTATCCCATGCCGCTCGAGGTCGACTCACGGGTGAAGGCCGCGAGTGTTACGAAGCGCACTCCCCGCTGGCCCATCGCCTTGCGTGCCTCGGGCGTTTACCGCCTAGCTGGTGCCCGACGTCCAGGCGGTGGCCGGGCCTAGTTTGGCGATTAGCGACTCCGTTGAGTGAGAAAGAAAGGGAAGAAGGGTGTGGAGGGAGGCGTCAGGTCTGTCTGGCGCGCATGGCAAATGACTAGGGTAGGATCTCAAAGCTGGGACTCTGTCGCCGCTATGGTTCCGCCGCCGTGTTCTACAGCGACAGCCTAGCTTGAATCAGGGTCCGCAAGCGGAGCTCGACTAGCAAAATTGACGTCTTTATTTGCCAATGGTGTGGAATTGAAATATATGTCTTTCGTCATCTTGTTACGTGCGCCAGCCAGCTCTCCTTGACGCACTGGCTAGACTAGTATGATCGTGGCTCTGTTATTCGATGTTTCCTGTCACCACGGGGAATAATTGGTAGCTAAGGGGCATCTGCTGTACGTGTGCGCTAGGTAGCCATGAGGAAAGATTCAAACGCTAATCGTGTCCCGTGTACGCCATCATTATGAGTTTTTCGCCCGAAACCGATGCCTGTCGTTGCGAAAGAAAAAGAAAAAAAAATGGGGGGGGGATTTACAAGTCGCACTTGCTGGTCGCCACAAAGCTACCTCCGCCGCGACCGTCTCTGAAACCGCTCTCGCCCGCCATATGAGCCCAGTGCGTCCGGATCATGCGCACAAACTGCAGCAAGAGGGAGTCGGGGTATTCGGGGTTGCTAGTGTGTAGGTGACCAAGTAGAGTGACCGTGCTGACGAAGCTAGCGATAGAAAAGACGTTGATGGATGTCGAGGTCTCCTTTTGGATATTGATCTTTCGTTGTGTGATATGATATAACACAGTCAACGTCTTTTGTGTTTTCTCGGAAGAGAATCCGAAACAGTTAGCGAAAAGCTCCAACTCCCCGGAGAGTAAAATACGGGACAGAGAAAGAAGGGTAAGGAGTAGGCGAACTCACGCTGGCGATGCTGATCCAGCCTGGGAGGAGGAGACGACCGTCATCGAAGCCGCCGGCGAAGAATAGGATGCGTTCCGTTAAAAACGCGTTGGCGCAGTTTATAGTCAAGAGGCGGATGATGGTGGCCTGTGGGGTATAGTTTATGAGCCAGCGAGACATGAGGCAGTCAGCGAAGAAGAAGGATAGGTAACCCGACGAGCCGCACTGGAGAGAGAAAGACGTCATTAGCATTGTTTTGCCCGTCGATCAAAAAAGCAAAACGTGAGACAAAGAGGGGGACAATGTCATGCTCCTCTATGCTCTTTTGTACGCACCCATATGACGCCCAATGCCATCTCAGTCCACGGATATCGTCTGGAACTACCCGGTAATCTCGTCCCTGGGGGAGCGCCGCTGAGGAAGGGCCCCATGCTTCTCGGGCTAGCTGGGCAGATGGGCTCCCCCGGGACCATGACGTCCATAGTCAGAGGGTCCGCACCGAGCGCTTCGAGCAAGGCCGACCACGGCAGGGCGAGCATGACGCGAATGAAGAGCTCAAGGGCGGGTTGTATGCCCCAGTAGATAGCGGGACAAATCGAGAGGAGGCGGCAGAAGAAGAGCCAGGGGCGCCAGGATTTGGGAATCTCGAGTACGACAGCGATGCGGGGCTCGAGAAAAGAGGCGGAAAGGAGGCCCGGGGAAGGGGAGGAGCGGCGGCGTCTGGGGGTGCTTGTGCCCGTTGTGGCGTTCTTGTTCATCCTGTCCGCTTTCGCGTTCGTGTGCGAAGTCATGTTGGGGGCGGCCAGACTGCCAGCGGACACGGCCCGTTGCAGTTGATGTCGAGGGGCGGCGGCGGCATGTGAGACAGCGGAAGAGGGGAAGCTTGTCGGGGGTTCATACGGTGGTGGTCTCGTCGGGGAACGGGAACGGCGGTAGTCCATCTAGGAGATGAAGGCTGCGGAGATACGGTATTCTCCTAGCGAGTCGTCCAGCCGCCTGTGGTTGTTGTATCGCGCCGTGCTTTGACTTGTTCATCGATGGATGTATGAATGGAGGGGGCAGGTTGAGGTGGAAACGGAGGGTCGATGTGGTTCGGACTTTTTGTTTCTTCGTCTAAACACTGTTTCTGTTCGATCAGGTGGGGAATGTGGCTTCGAAAAGAAGAATTGAGGTAAAGGATAAAATGGAAGGCTCGGCGGGCCTTATCCCTATAAGTATACGGAGTAGATTGTTTTTGAGCTCTGGGTCGTCGACTGTGGCGTCTCTGTTTTGGTGACTTGGCTTGCCAAATGGGACAGACAGGGCCTTCCTTACATGAACCTTGCGAGACAAGTCGTGTACCTATGCACGCAGATGAGAGCGTCGAACGAATCATGAACGTACGGGACCTAAGCACTATGTCACACCGTCTATCCGTATCTGTACTTTGTGCACTACCTACCTACCTGCCCGGGTTTGGCTGGTTATACACGTGTAGGTCAGAGCCGATGGACTCGTCAGATGTCGCAAGTCTTAGAACATTATGATGATAGCGATACCGTAAGAACTCAACAAACTCGACCTTGCGCTAGAGGCTTAGTGCCCCGTTTTCCCCAGGCTTTTCTGAAATAAACCAATCAAAACATAGTATTCGGAGCGCTTATCTGATAACCGAAGCGATAATATCCGTGATCGATACTTTAATTCTCTGCCATCTAATAGGATAACTTTCCAGAAGTGGGGCTTTTATCAAAAGCGGTATAGCGCTGGTTAGCGTAAGGTCGAGTTTGTTGAGTTCTTACGGTATCTCTGTCCTAGCTCTGGTTAGTGCAAAATTCTCTGTTCGAGCATATATGTCCACCTAAAAACGCTTACGTAAGGCTGCTAACATAAGGTCCAACCCCTCCCCCCCAAAAAAAAACCCCAAGTAGGTAACCGTCTCCGCCAATAATTGTAGCCCGATAAGGACAAGTATGGATCCGATAGATAAGTCAGGGGCCCAAAAATTTCCCATCCATCGCGAGAGCTCGAGATCCCCAATCGTCTGTTTCTCGAAGCGGCAATTCGGCCTCGACGACATAATATTCTCCTCTACTAGGGCCCTACCGATCGTCGTCCCGCCATCGAGAAGGCCTTAGTCAGTCTTTCGAGGGCTTAATGAGCTGCCCGCGATCACGACAGACGGACCTGGAACTGCCGTAGCCTCTTAAACAACTCGCCCTTCCTTACATCATGTTTCAACCATCAACCAGGCTGGTGCTTGGCCGTGGCCGACCCGCCGTGACCACAGCGCTCCGGTCCTCTAGGAGATCATACGCAATAGGGAAGGCTGATACGGTGCTTCGGGGCTTTAAGAGAGAGGTGGACGCCATGAGCAAGGCACAACTTGAGGACATGAGCAAGATGCAGAAACATGCGTTGCAGGCAGCGGCAAGGCAGTATGCCAGCAAGATTTTCCCAGGTACGTCTTGGCCATGAGACCCCGTGTTCTTTCTGTGCTTCGTCTTCAGCCTAGCTCGCCATCCCAACCTAGCCAAACAGTCGAAATCTCGAAAAGGGAACTTGCAATGGCAGACAAAGCTCTCCAGGCAAACCGAAGCGGGAGTGTGAGGAGGACTAACCAGAGCTGACACTCACAATCGCGAATCTTCTACAGGCACCTTCATCCCCATGCCGCTATCCAAAGTACCGAAAAAACCGACGATTTTCTTCAAGTACCAGTACACCCGCCTGAAGGCCAAGTTCTGGGACGCCGTCTCCGTCGTCACCCTCCGCTGGCGCTCCCGCCCCAGCATATTCGCCTTCTACTCCAAGCCCCGCGCCGGCATGTACCGCTCCCAGGCCCTCGCGGCCGGGAAAGCCCTGCACGCGCGTCTCGGCCAAGCCCTGGCCGAAGGCGACCGCGACACCCTCCGCGAGATCTGCATCCCCGAACTGTACCAGGCCCTCTCCGCCGCCATCGACAAGCGCAAGCCCTGGGAGCGCACGACCTGGAGCATCCTGCAGAACCACGGCGCCCGCCTCGTCGCGCACCGCGTCGCCATCCTGCCGCCGCCCTTGCCGAAGGATCTCATGGTCCAGCAGGCCGTCGTCGCCATCGATACGACGCAGTCCTTGGACCGTGTCGACTCCCGCAACGGCGAGAGCATACCCGGTGCGGCACGCGTGCAGCGGCGAACGGAGTATCTGGCGCTCTCGAAGGAGTGGAACAGTGACACGTACACTTCGGGCCCGTGGCAGGTTATCGGCAACGTGAAGGAGACCACGTTGGACGCTTGGCAGAAGGAGGAGGAGAATCTCAAGGTCATGCAGGCGATTCAGACGGAGAAGGCGTTGAAGAACAACATCAAAGGGGGGAAGACGTCATAACGCTGGCCACTGGCCTGGGAAAATATGAATGCCCCTAAAGCGTTCAAATATCAGGCAGGGTGCAGAGTGGGAGCCAAGGGATGAGGGATTCGGGCGAGAATGAAAGAACGGCTCCAAGGGGAGGCGAGCGGGTGCATATGTAATGAATGTACTGTATATTATACGTGTAAGAATGCTGTATAAAGTACTCTCTGATCCAAACACACCCCGGCCAAGGCCCGCTGGCTCTGGACACGAGGGTGGTCCCTTCTAACATCTTTCTCTCCAACGAGACCCGTTCTTACTATTACTTTTTCCCGCCACGCGCCACTCAGAACAAAGTAGTAGACTGAGTTTTGTCTAGGATCTTCTTCGAATAATCCGTCAACTTGAGAGTTATGTCACCGTCAAGCTTAGGTCTGACAGACGCTGTTCTGTACGCACTGCCGTCTTAAAAGAACTTTCCAGCCTGCTTAGAAGTCGGCTCCTCCTGCTGCGTGGTGACGTCTGCCACGTCGTCACCCGAGGCGCTAGGCCGGAAGCTGGCGACGTCCGAGGGCGCTTCGACGGAGATGGGAGGGTCGAGTGCAGTGAAGCGGCGACCGGTGCGCTTGGCCCAAAGATACTGAACTCCCAGGCGACCGCCCAGAGCGACGAGAGCGAACAGGAGACTGCCGACAGGAGCGGCGACAAAGAGGCCGAAGACGCTCCAGTCGTTGGCATAGAGACCTTCCGAAATAAGCAACAGATTGCCAGCGCGGCGCACGTCTCCCCCGTAGTAGACGAGACCGAAAAAGAAGGCGGACAGGATGCCGCCAACTCCTCCCGTAATGACCTCGAAGCCACGCCACCAGTAGCACCGGTCGGAGAGGCCGATGACGAGGACGGGGATGACGCAGGCGGAGACGAGGTCGCTGATGAGATAGATCTGCAGGATGGAGGGGGCCCTTAGGGCGATGACGATGGAGGGGACGCAGATAAGAACGGCGCCCAGACGGACCCACCAGATGTTGAGGCGGTTGCGGAAAAGGTCATTGGAGGCAGACGAAACCATGGCCGTGAGCAGGGTGTCGAACGACGCGCAGGACAGGGTAACGACCATGACGAGGGCAATGCCAACAACCCAGGCCGGCAGGCTGTTCAGAAGGAGGAAAAAGGCGGCAGAGCCATCTCTCGGGATGTCCTCCATAGGGAGAGCACCGGACCAGACAGCAACGAGACCGCTGCAGCCGAGCATGACCAGAACGATGAGGATGAAGACAGTCGCCATTGAGACGCCAATCCAGAGGTCCTTGTCCGTCTTGGAGGCGAAAGCACGCAGCCAGAAATTGGAGAGGAAGAAGTAGTTGGTCAGGATGCAGACGGGCAGGATGTAGAGTAGCTGCCAGCCGAGAAGCGTGGGCTTGAGAAAGCCCGACTCTTTGATCAGAGAGGTGTCGATGTCGGTGAGAGCACCAATGGTGGCCGCTGCGATGATGATGAGCCCGATGACCATGGCGCCTTGGATGTTGTCCGTCAAAAAGGAGATACGGAATCCGCCGAGTGCTTCACGAAAGGGTTAGCAAGTGCAGTAGTGTATTGTATGGAGCACGGCTCCCCAAAGCACAGAATCATACAGGTGTAGGCGGCAGTGACCACTACTTGGACGATCATAACCGGGAGCTGATTGACGCGGGTCAGAGCGGTGACGACGTGGCCGATAGCTGACAGCTCCGCAGTCATATATAAAAACAATGTGACAAGGGTCGCGAAGCTCAAGTAAAGCATGGCGGCGCTGCCGTAACGCTGGCGGGTCCATTCCGTCAAGACGAACCCATGCGGGGTCTTTTTCCGAATGAGGGACCCGAGGCCGGCGAATATCAGGAGCGGCAGGGCGGAAGATAGGGCGTAGACTACGACGCCTTGAACACCGGTGATGGTGGCGAGCTCCGGGTAGGCGAAGAGCACACTCGATCCGAGACCTGAATTGTTAGTTGAAAACTACGAGGTTAGAAGGGGTCAAAGGGGGGGGGGAGTGGAAGAGGGAGGGAAAGGAGGGAGGTCGATCGGAGCGGCAGCACGTTTCCCACGCAAGCATTAACTTGATCGAGTAATCACGGTACAATCTCAGCTTCAGATCGGCTAGCCGCAGAACATCTCCTCGCTTTCAGATGAGGGAGCAAGGTTGGATGCCGGCGGTGCTTCTCATCCGCGCCCGTAGTGAGCCGCGTCCTCTTCCACCTCAGGAGAGTCAGCCCCGGAGAAGCCCCTAGCATCCAGCATGGGTCGAAACCTTTTGTTTCCTTGTTCCCTGCAACTGAAAACTGCGTCGATGCCAGTACTCTCCCGCATGCTGCGAGACCAGGTTCCGCCCCGAGGCGTAACCCCTGAGGTGTAGGAGGACCAGTTGATCTTGGGAGACGAACCTAGATGTCAGATACGTTGTCGCCTACCCCTGATCTCCCGATGTTCGTCGCAAGTGCTCTAAGAGCTTTGCTGGTGAAGAGCCGCCAGCAACCGACAGGATGCTATGCCTTGACGTGCCATGACATGCCGTTCCCTAGAGAGTCAGGGGGGTGCGTTGTGTCGTTAACTCCGTCGCTGTGGTCGTGTATTGCTACCGCTCCCGATCTTTTGGGAGATGGATTGCCCACGCTGATCAGCGCTTTTGCCAATCACTCACCACTGGCGATGAAGTTGAGGGCAACAGGCAATGCTGGATTAAGTGTTAGGTTTGGGACGATAGAGCAAAATGGGAAGGGGGTGAGGGCCAAGCCGATGGGTGAAACTGTGGCATCTTCAAGGAAGCGTCAAGGTGGCGTCTAACCCGTTTGAGTTCGATTGGCAGACAGGAAACCGCCCCTGAGATTATGTCTCAATGTCCAGGCTAGGCCAGTTCCCATGAGACTGAGGAGTATAGGATGTCTGTGTTAGCCTTCTGACGAGAGTGGTGTTGTTGTTGGGCAAACTGAACAGAACGGTAGAGATGAGGCCCGGGCATTTAGTTCCGGACTTGCAGACATCACGTTGAAATGGAAAGTGAGAAGTTGAGACATACAAGAAGAGACCGTAGGTCGCGAAGATGATGCCATGGGAGGCCGCGAGCGATGGTTGTGGCATGATGAGAGGCGAGGATGCGATTCCGCGAGAGAGACTCGTCCAGCGATGACGATGGATCGTGGCGGAGGGAAGGTCGACAGGGACAGATACTTCTAGGGTCTAATAAAGCCGGCTGCTAATATGCACGTTGCATTTAGAGGTTCTCGTCGAAGGAAGAGAGGAAATATACCTATATTTATAATGAAAGACCGGAAAAAAATTCTCTTAGGAACAAAAAGTCTGGGCGGGTTAGAGTCGAGAGGTCATACAACGCCCCGCAGGCAGTTTGTTGGGTCTTGCGTGGGGGTTATGGCGTTCGGTACGTTATCGTACCTATCCGGTACACGTAAAAGTTGGTAATGCCATGCCACTGTCACAGAGGTATCCTTGCTCAGGTAGCCAAGTATTCTGTACGAATCAGAGTCAAGGTATCTCCGCCATAGCGCCACGCCTTGCGCTCAGTGATGAAGTACCCACTACCCGTACTTAAGCTTCAGGTATCCATAATTCTTGAAAAGGTAGGTCGACTGGGTATTATATAATCCTGTTCTTGAATTCTTCTTAGCACAAAAAGTAAAGTTGTGTTGACTATCCAACGGCCTTCCCGTGGCGCAATGGTAGCGCGTCAGACTTCTAATCTGAAGGCTGCGGGTTCGAGCCCCGCCGGGAAGTACTTGTTTCTTCTTTTCTTTTTTTTTTGGTTTTCGTAGTTACTCGGCCTACAGAGTACAATATTTTTGGAGTCGTGTTTTGGGACAAGTGACCAAGCCCAGAAGATCCAAAGAGTTCTTAGGACATGGACTTTTCTATAACAAAGTCGATCGGGTCAAACATCGCCAGTGTTATGTTATCTTTGCATGAAGGCAAATTGCTTCCCAGTCACGATTCACGAAGTGCCGATGCGAAATGCGGGCAACAAGCAACACATCATACAGGACATGCGTATATATCTCATCGGTTTCCGCAGCCAGACAGATAGGTCGCCTGGCAGACAGCCTCAATCGCCAGACAATTCCATCCCCTCTCTCCGACGCTCATCGGCGGGCAATGTTTGCTCTGTTACGTTCTGTTCGATCCTACATTACCCTGTCTAGACCACCTTATCCTTCATTTTCTCGTGCCAAGTTCGAACCTACCATGGGATTGAGTAGGGTTTTAATCAGTTTCCAAGTAGTGATTAATTACTATTTGAATTATGTCCCAGACTTATACTGTTTGTCCAATGCCTGTGATACATGATAGTGTGATGGACTTCCACCGTCCTGAACAAACCACCCCCCCTTCCCCCCCCTTTTTTTTTCCCTCTTGCCCTCTCCATTTACTTCATTTTCTCCTCCTTCGGCGCCAACCCGGCCTCCTCTTACTCACCAAGCGTCCCTTGTCATTTAGCTGTCCTTTATCTCATGTCTTCTCCCTCAAGGTATAGTGCTTTCAAATCAGAATATCAGATGCCTTTCTAGGAAGCCACAAAAGCAAACCAAGAAATCAAGATGTTCTTATAATATCATGGGGCCAGTGTAACCGGTGCGGCTATGAAATAACTCTTTAGTTTGTTAAGAAGTACTATATGCTGATGTAGAGTATAAGCCACCTAGCCCCTGAATGGACTTGCACTCCAATGCCTGGCTACCTTCACTGTGGTAAGGTAACCAAGAGGAAGCGTCGTAGAGGCGAGACCAACCGCTTCCTCACATAACTACCGTACCTTATGGTCCATCTATCTGAGGAAGGTAGCCTACATCATTTAGAAATTTACATAAGGTACCTTACCCAGGGGAACCAGATACTCTAAGGTAAGGTCCAATATACAGCGATGTACATATGTAAGGTACTTTGATGGAAAGAAGTCATGTGCATTGAGTCGTCTGATATACCTGTGTGACCTGATGGTCAGACAGCCAGGGGCACCAGGGGCACCAGGGGCACACACTGATGACCATGACTGTGAGCGTTATGACACCCACTAAAAAGCATATATAGAGACAACGAGTCGGGATCTTCCTGTTTCTTTCCCTTGAGTATACTAATATCAGGTACTTTATACAATGTGACCTTGTTATATCTTGTGCAGTTTCACTCAATAGGGCAATATCCTCGACTCATGTTTGAAAGCATATACACCAACCAGTCTAAGCTTAGCGGGGGAAGAAGGAACAAGGGCTCTTGTTTATGACTTTGGATCACGGGCTTGGCAGAATGCTAACTTGCCCAGGAGTCCCTTCCCTTTCTTATCCAATATACTGTAAAATAAAAGGGAAGTTGTGTGGGTTTGTGAAGGTATCGTGACTCTGTCCACGAGTCGCCGTGGCCCCTGGCCACCAAGGTCAGAACCCTCACGATCCCTACGGGCACCCACGAATTGTAGTCATCCTGCTGCCGAATATAGAAAGAATTTCTTTCAGGGCTATTAGCTCAACTATTTCTTTCTTTCTATCAAAGCCTCTGGGAAAGCTTCTTCTTCCACTTTCATCCACTATCACCACTCAGACGACACTCTCCAGAGTTCTCACCTACTCTCTTGGGGTTGCCAGCCACCTCTACCAATAAAGGTATGTTTATCTATTCTAATTGATGACTCTCCGAACCCCTTTTCATGGGTACATGAGGCCTGCCTAGCTCCCTGGTCTGCTCTATTTGTTTATGCTCTTCTTGCCATGTTTTATTTCATCATCAACTTCGGGCTTCTCTTGCTCAAGTCCTGATCTTCTCCTGTTTTTTCTCCCGAGTCTGTAAGTTTCTGGAGATACTCGGTTGATATTTTTGCTGGGAGAGCTCCTCTCCACTCCCCCTTCTCCAGCGAAATTCTCCGTTGGTCTTGCGATCCATTCTATGCCAATCCTCGTCCAACCTGCGTGTTTACAGAAGGTCATGGCTGAGAAATTGCTTGCTGTCACGCCTCAACCCAATTCCAAGCCTCCTATCGTCCAGCCCCTGGATAATATATTCTGACGCGTTCACGTCTTTCTCTTCTGTTTGAGTTCTTTATGTTTTCGTATTACCCTGGACCGCCTTCTATAGAGCTGACTTAGTGGCTTACTGCAGGTATCATTCTCTGACTGCGAATCCAGGGATTCTTCTATTGCTTGAGAAATTCCTGTAAGTGAGCCCGCACTGACTTGACTCTTGAGTCTTGCCAACATTTACTGAACCGGTGAAATTCCAGACGTCTTCAATGTCCGGAAAGAATGAGGCCATGGGCCAGATAGCCCAGAGTCTGTCCTCGATGTCCCTCACCGGAGAGGAGGATGATGTCTTTTCAGGTGGCGGCGGAACTGGGAACCTCCGTCTCACCAAGATTCCCGATGGCCCTGCTCTTCATCGCGGCGGTCAGGCGCCTCAGGCCGCCTCTCCTTCTCGCAAAGGTAGGGCTATGGGTTTCCGGGAGGCTTTTGGCTTGGACGCGCAGGAAATATACTCTCCTGGCGCGTGCGTTTTTGTCGCCAAGTAAGTACGAAGCAGAGCCGACTCAGCCGAGAACGAGTCTGATCCCCAATCCTGTGACCCTGGGTTCTGACGCAGGCCAGCCTTCCGAACCATGTTGAAGACTCCGTGCTTGAGACGGAGGTTAACGCTGTCTTTTCCCGTTTTGGAGCCGTCTTCGTCAAGATTCGTCGCGATGGCCGAACTCGGATGCCATTTGCGTTCTGCCAGTTTACTGTTAGTTCTCTGATATAACCCCTAAAGGCTAAGGGCCCTAAACCCCAACTTCTCAACCCGGGCTCCGTTCTAATAAGGTTTATAGACGTTCGAGGACGCGCAGCGAGCTCTAGTCAAAGGAAAAGGAATCGAGATCTTCGGACGCCCTTGCCGCACAGAGAAAGTCAGAGCTAATTGTGGGTTTACACTTATGCCGAGATGTCTCCCTGACATTCTTACTGACCCGGCGATTAGGTGATTTCTACGTCTACCGAAGAGATAACCGCGATACTTCCATTAAAGAGGCCAAGGAGCTCCTCGAACCCTTTGGGCGTATTTCCAAGGCCGAAATTCTTCATCCGCAGACCGCCAACCTGCTGGGCCTATCGGCCTCTGGGGTCTTGGTGTCGTTCATGGTCTTCGACGCCAAGAGAGATGTCGTGGGTGCCCTGCAGGATGACGAGGCGTATTGTGTCAGAACCTTCTCCCAGAGCAAAGTGGCTCCTCGGACCCCCCAGAGGGAGAAGCCGGCTATGGTTCAGGACTGGTCCCGCCAGTACGAGTATCACAAGCGTACTATCTTCGTCTCCAACCTGCCTGCGGATATCTCCAAGGAGACTTTGCACAACATGGCAAGTGAATTCGGCGAGGTCATTAACATTACCATCAAGTGGAGCAATCTGAGTGGTAAGTTGTTCCCGACACACCTGTAGCAGGACGGAGGACCATTGCCGAACAGCTAAATAAGCTAACATCTTGAAGGCCACCGGAAGGCATTCGCGTTCATTGAATTTGACAACCACGAATCCCCTAATGTGGCGGTTGCTGAACTAGTAAGTCTCCCGTCCGGACCTTCCTCTCACAGACAATATGCGCGATTCGATTGCTAAGACACGTCAATCGCTCAGGATGGGACACCTGTGCCCGGTGGAGATGGCAAGCTTATTGTCGAGAGAAAGTCCTGCAAGGTTCTGAATCCTGGTGCAATCATGACTCCGGACACCCGCCATCGGCGCCTCATCAAATCTCACGAAGAGAGCGACATCGAGTCCAAGGAGAAGGAGATGGTTCCACAGACGGGTACTCCTGTTGCAGGATCGGGAATGGTCTCGCCGGAGCAGTCGCAGTCTGCAGCGGCTCAGTCGTACCACCCGCAGGCTCACCCTATGATGGGATACTCGCCCCTCACCCCTCAGGGATATGGATACTACTCGTATTCGCCTGCATTCTCGCCTGCGCAGCTCTTTTCCCCGTTTGCCGTACGGACTCCCTACTACGATCCGAGTTTGTACCATGCTACCTTTTCCTCGCCTTCGTACATGATGGGAGGTTATCCTCCCTCGATTCCAGAGACGGGTCAGACTTCTCGGTCCGAGCCTGCCAATGTTGAGAAGGAACCCGAGGAGAAGAAGGAAGATTGAGCAGGTCCAGGCAACTATTCGGACCTCTCCCCACTTCCCCCCTTTGCTGCTTTCTTTTACTTTGCCCGCCTCTTGCTTGAAACGGGGCTGAAAAAAAAGGAAGAAAAAAAAGAAAAAAGGAAAAAAAAAATTGTTCTCCTCTTGTTATAGAGGGACAAGAATATTCGGCGTTCTGTTTTTGATTCTGAGAGATACCCAGTAGCTCATCTTCTGCATTGTCTGCTGAGGACAACAAAGGAGACCAGAGGAGAAGAGAAGCCTTCTTCTGCATGAGCCAGGGGGCCTCCAGTCACTCGGACGAGGGATCTTGTTTTGACATTGACCCACGACTAGGTTGATTGATGTATATAGTATCTAGGGAAATGAGACGATACTGACCTGAACTCACCCTTAATAAACAGTGAGGGATTCGCCGGTGACTCGTGAGCCACTTGAACTGTGAACATCTTGATCTCTTGACTGGTTGACGTTCGGTAAAGCGCGACAGTAAAGTCTGCGGCCCTACGGGGCCGACTTCGAGCCCATATACGTTGTGCAGCCCAAATTGACACTGCCCAACAGCCGTATATCTTCATGCAGACATAAATGAAGTTGATGACCATGTCAATACCTTACTTTGACATGATTCCTTTCCTCCGTAATAAAGTGCTCGGTCCCACGAGAAGTTGAACGCGAAAGTCACGTGAGCCTGGGAACTTCTCTTCGGAATCGGTGAATCCTTAGGCCGCAAGAACTTGAATGACTCGCCACGTACGGAAGTACTCCGTCAAGCTCCTAGGTACCTTATCTTATCGCTGGAATACGAATTGACTTCACAGGATCATAGCACTCAATTCCCATGCTGCTTGTTGGAATCACGATTTAGAGAGCCAACAGACCAATCCAAATCTGACGGTTCGCTCTCATGCACGCCAATCAGTTAGGAAGAGGCTGCTCCATGTGACAACAGACAGATGCGTTAGCCGACAAGCAACTCATCAGAAGCACCGTGTTGTGTTTACCTCGGTCGAGGGTCCTCCAGGATGCGCCCAACGGAAGCCCTGAGGAAAGGCTTCCTCGGGCGGAGCATGGATGAATTCAAGCGTCTAGCTGTCGTAGGTATGTGCTTTCTTCTTCTTTTTTTTTTCCTTCTTCCACATCCCGCTTTCAGAATGGCATGCTGATTTTTGGTTTCTATTTCGCAGCCTTCAGAGCAGAAGGTGTCAAGGGGCCCTCAGGACCCCTCCTCTTACAAGACTTCCGAGACCCCGAATCGATCTCACAATGCAAGACCATGACAGACCAAGAAATCGGAGGCTTCTCTCACTGCGCGCTCGACTGGGCTTCATCCCAAGACTCCGCCGACCCATCCGCACTATCCCCCACCTCCGCCCAGCCCCCAGGGCATGCCAGGTTCCACGGCACGATATCGACCGAACTCCCGAAGAATAAACCCGACATTCAGAGAACAGGATATGCGGCGTGGAGGACGCTAGACAGGCCGCCGACCGTGTTCGGGAAGAGCCTGTGGGACATCGACATGTACGCGTACCTCGCAATGCGGGTCCGGTCGGACGGACGCAGCTACTTCATCAACCTGCAGACCGAGAGCGTGGTGCCCACGGACTTGCACCAGCACCGGCTATTCGCGAAGCGCCCCGGGGAGTGGGAGACGGTGCTGGTGAAGTGGAACGATTTCGTGCGCACGAACCATGGATTCGTCGTCGAGCCGCAGACGGAGCTGCTGCGGCGGAAGATTAGGACGGTTGGTGTGGGACTGACAGATCGGGTTCCTGGCCCGTTTGAGCTGTGTATCGAGAGGATATGGGCAACCAATGACGTTGCCGAGGCTGATTCCGTTATGGATGCCGGCGAGGCTGGGCAGACTGCGAGCGAATTGAGGGATCGACAGGGGAAGAGCATACTCTGGAAAGAGGCATAACGTGTTTTCATCACGATTTCCCACCTGTGTACTCTCGAAGCTCACAAGCAGCTACCATCCCGCCTCTTCAGGGACGAGGGAAAGAAGAGACAGAGTGGAAGACGTAAGGTGGGTGCTGGTGTACGTCTGCTAGGTGAGGGCTCCTGGGTGAGGGCTCCTGGGGAAGGATCATAATTTGTACAAACCATGTACGATATGGCGTTGCTTTGCTTTTGGGAAGGCATGTGATCTACTGGCCAGTTGCAGGAGACAATATGACGAGACTTTTGATGGAGCCGAAGTCGGTCGATCCGCTCCCACTTCGATACTGCCTTTTCCCCTACCGTCACCGCCGCGTTAGGCTCTGGGGCACCCCTGAATCCCTTCCGCGCCAACCTTGGTCGTTCTCAGAAACGACTCTGGCTGCCCCCTCACTGCTATCCGACAACGAGTGAACCGGAGAGCAGGCACATTTCGCAGCGGTCACACCAACGCCTAGGTGCCCGATCTCGAGTCTCAGAGCCAGCTTCTCCGTGACCGGACTGCTTTCGAGAAGAGAATACGACCCAGCGGCCTGAAAGAATCTCAGTATGTGGTTGTCCTATAATCCGACCACGTCCTCGTACAGGTTCTACATCGCTCGATTATTACCAGGAGCTTTGTCCTTCAAGAATGCGTAGAGGCTTTTGTCAAATAAAGCGTAGTCAAAATCGTCACAAAACAGGTCAAAATTGATTGAGGCAATTATGTATAATTATAACTGTCTTAGACCGTCAGGGAAACGCTGCTACCGTATTTTATATAGTGCAGATTCTGTAAGCGTCCACCCGGATTATACTCTTAGTAATCTAGCCTATTACGTAACCGAAAAGACTATAGTCTATTCGCTATAGCCGCCCTTAAATTCATCCTCTAGGTCCTCTAAATATTCTATCCGGACTTCCTCTAGCTATTTCTGCTATAACCGTTCCCGTATATCTATCACGCCCACCTAGGACCTAAATATCTTAAATTTCTCGCCGTATAACGCCTTCGTTAATCCGTCTACTACTATTTCCGCGCTCGTAATATACGTTACGAGTATTTACCCTTATTCCTTTACTTAACGTAACTAGTGGCCGTGGATATTAACATGGCGGAGGCGCGTTATTAACGTACTAATCTCTTAAGTAACTAATCGAATCGTTTAGTTATTATCGTATAAGATCTTTAATTCCAGATTATTAAATTCCACTCCTATACTAAGTAATAGGCATTATATAAAGATACCCTCTTTTATACCTTATACTAACGCTAATAGCTCTACTTCTGTTATAGATATCGTGACTATATCCTGCTTATTTACGCGCCACGCTATTATACCGCTAAATAAGCGTATTATATACGCTTAACTGCTTTTTCGATTAAGGGTATTATCGGTAAACGAGGCGTTAGTATAGATTTCGATAGTATCGCCACCCCCTAGTTCTAAGGTAAACGATTAGCTATTAATTAGATAAAGGATTAGATAATCGGCGGCCTTATAGTGAATAGGCCCTGGATTAACGTTAAACCAGTATAGCCTAGATACTATAAACGCGATATTAGGGCGTGATATTACTGCTGCATATAGTATAGATCCTATCTTCTATTAATAGCTTTTAACGTCCGTTAAGGTCCCTGAATAGGGCAGTAGTTCTGCGATCTTAATTAGGTGTGTTAGGCGATAGTTACTGCTATACTTACTATTTAGCTTTAAAAAGCGTTCTAATTTAGTAACGTAGTCGTATTATAATGGCTAGATTTTACGGGCGGCGCGGTCGCGAATAACCTTAATACTAAGGAACCACTATAGAGGATCGCTATCTTATAGATTATAGTGGCGTTACAGGTTATTAACGGTCTGCTCTATCTACGCCTTATATTATTCCTTATAATTAATAATAATATCGTTAACGTAGAAGAACAGGATTAAACCGCGGCGCAGAAAATAACACGGTTCTTACGGCACTATCTAGAAGCCGTCCGCTAAAAGGATAGCCGAAAAGTGCTTTTACTAAAGCAGTAAAGACTCCTTAAGTCTATATAACGCCTTTTTCAGATGTAAACGACTCCTAGGGGCTAGAAAGCCTAGCGGCGGGTATATAAAGATATTATAGGGGAGGGGCGCGTGTATAAACGCGTTTATAACGTTAAATTATAATAGCGTAAGGTTAAATCGGACGGCGATAGCTATTAACGCGCGGAACGACCGTCCGGCTAGTATTACTGCGTACGTCTCCTTAGGCGAGGATTAATACTGCTGATCTCCTCGCACTATAAGCCTTACCTTATATTTATATAGAAATCCATGCTTATCGAACTTATATATTATCACCTATATCGAATTAAGAACCTGATATCTATCTGCGGTAGACGCCGGTACCCGTATCTACGACCCTATCTCCTTATAGCTCCGTAGGTGGTCTTCTTTTACTTGTCGGAATAGGTGGCCATAAGGGTGTAAGGGTATATCGCGAGGGTTCTTCGGAGGAGGAGGGAGGTCTTTACGATAGATCTTTATAGCCGCCGAAGTAACCGCCGGAGCAGTGCTTCCCGAGGCTACCGCCAGGGTTATATTTTCCGAGATAGCTATCGGGGCCGTTAGTTTAAGTAGGAGCGATAAACGCCGCTATAGCGTTATAGAAGTAGTCCTTTTTAATCGTAATTTAGTTAGCGGAGTCCTATCCAAGGTGCGTATATTAGGGGCGTGGCGGCTAGCGTTAAACACAGCTACCTAATAGTCTCTTTTCCAGCTATCTCCTTACTGAATTAGTTACGCTCCTTTATTTAATAGGAGCCCTATAGCTATAGCTATAGGGGTATCGCAGCACCGTATTCCGTTATCCTAGAACTCTACGGCCGTAGGGGCATCACGGTTTCCTAATATAATGGCTACTATTAGCGCTATAACCGACGGCGGGGTTACTAGTAGAGTAGGAAGTAATAGATCTGGCGGATATAGACGGTAATCAGGCGTTATACCGGCTAAATCACACTATTCGTGACCTAAATCTTATCCTGATTAACTTAAGATAGCCTCCTCTACCCCTTTACGGCCGGGTATTACGGACTATAACCTTAACAGTAAAACCATTAAGGAAGGAGATCCGGGGGCGTTTATCCCCGGATCTAATAATTCAAAATAAGCAGTTATATAAAAGGGAGGGGGTCCTTAGCTTATACGTCCGTAAACAACCGTGAATCTCCAGCCCTCTCCTACTCGATCTAACTAATCAGGTCTTCTAATTACTCCTCGGTTAATTAACGGAGGTCGTCCTTAAAGGTGGCGATATCGCCGTTAAAGAAGGCGCGTTCGTTAAAATCTATATCGCGCGTTCGAATAACGCGGTTATAGCGGCGTAGGCTAGGCACCCAGATACGGAAAATATTAGTAGAATCGTAGCCGATAAGATAGCCGATATAGGCGTGAGGAGCGATACGATTTAATAGCTTATTAGTAGCCTTCTAGGCGTCCTTTATTATCGCGTATGCCTTATAGCCGTAAGCTTAAAGGTGCAATAAAATCGGCTTTCTTTTAAAGAGGACCTCGTATAGCGTTTTCTATTCCTTATTATACTGCCTTCGTAGCGTGCGGTTATAGACGTACGTAGCCGTGGGAATAGCCCTAGGCTATATAAACGGTGGCAGTTTTGCGTGGATATTTATCGCACGACCCTTCGAAATAACCACGGTAGTAGCGCGTTCGGTACCTCTATTCTATACTTAAGTATCGGTAGCAGATACCTCTAAAAGGATGCCCTCACCATGTAGGAATTAGGTGATATCGTGGGATTAAGTTAGCTTATTATTAGATTCGAAAACGCGCACCTTATAGTCTAATTAGTGGTCTACCTAGGCGAGGAATTCCTTAATTATTACGAAGATATCTACTACTAGCTTACTCTTTATAACGTAGGTGGCCGTAAAACCACTATAACGGTCGGTGAAAAACATAAACCTTAAGTCCCTATCGGACGTTCGTTTAAAATCCGTGAAATTAATCGCCTATCGCTCCCCTGCGTAGGCAGGTATAGTGCGAGGGCGCCTACTAATATACCGCTTTATCTTTATAAGCTCGTAGGCCTTATAATCGATAGTTATTAGTCCCTTGATTTTAACCCCCTGCGTCTGCTCTTCTAGGTGCCTAAGTGGTTCAGGGCCTGCGTGCCCTAGGCGTAGATGCTATAAGATGCCCTCCGTAGTGCTTAGATACTATATCGTCGATTTACGAACGCCTTTTCGGGTAGCAGAAGAAGAAGAAGAGCCTAGAAAAGCAGCCGTAGATTAGTCAGAGGGCACGTATTTAATAACGGTTTAATCAAAGCAGTGACTTAGCTAGTATAGTATAGATCCATCGAAACGCCGAATATAGTTATTTAGTGGCTTTTAATTCTACTAGTATCCTCGAAGACGTAGGCGTTAGTTAGAGATTAAATTATAGACAAAATCCTTATAGTATACGACGTTTAATAGCCTAAAATCAAGGCCTCCTATTAGTCCATTTAATCTCACGGTCACGTTGCCGTAATCTTTAATAGGCAGGGACGAACTACCGGCTACCAGGTAGTCCCCCTATGTGGCGGGTGTAAAATCAGAAAAACGGGAAAAATCGTTAAATATATAAATAGTAGCGCCGGAATCGAGGATAGTAGAGGTTCGAAGAGGGTAACTAGCAGTAGCGGTTTCTGCTATAAAGCTAGCGGCGTGGGAGACGCCGCTACGGATACTACTATAGTCGAGTCACGCCTCTTTAAGCTATGCTAAGTCCCGGCTTATATCCTTCTTCACCTTCTTTACGGCACGCAGTTCTTCCACTTCCGTGCGTAGCGAGGGGTCGTATTTAAGGATCCGTTAGACGGTTATTTTAGTGCTCTCGAAGGGTATCTAATCGTTATATACCGTATCCGGGAATAGATAGAAGCAGACGTTAATATCGTGGCCAGGCATAGCGTACACGCGGTAGATCTGCCCTCTCTATAAAGCAGATTAGCGGCGTTTAGAAGAGGAACGGTTAGCTAAAGCAGCTAAAGGTGTGGCTATAGATACCGCGGTAGTAGGATTCTTAGCTTTCTTCCCACGGCCGCCCTTTTTACGGGGCTTAGCCGTGGCCTCTAAGGTATCTTCACCCTCTTCGCTTCCGGTATATAGTGCAGGGAATACTATAGCGCGGTGGCTACCGCGTTTTTTTCTTAGTCTTTAAGTCTGGTATTAATATACTTCTAGCCGAGGGTGTAAAGGTCTTCGGGTATAACTACTTAGTTATCTATAAGGCGTCCTTTAGACTTAGTCTAATCGTGGCTGGTATAGGGGCGTATACCTCTAAAGAAATCTATAACCTATATATACATGGCAGGCTTCGAACCGGTATCTTTATAGCTTTATAGTAGTAGCTACCACTTATCTAACTACTCCCCGAGCTTCTTAAAGCTATTCGTAGGGTACTATATGTGCTCGATATACTCTTCGTGGGTATCGGTTTAGCAAGTAGCTAAGTACTAATCCGTATCGCGTTTAACGGCTTCGTACACCTTATAAGGCGTGCCTCCTTATAGCAGTTATCTGCGGCTTTAGTCGATAGTATTAACCTGCTAGGTTAGTATAGCGTTAATCCCCTTTAGGTAGCTATCGTATTATATTTATAGGATCTTCCAGCGCGCGATTTCGATATCGTATACTTTGTAGCTGGCGTCCGTAAGGTCGAGATATTATATAGGCGTACGCCTAGGTGTTATAGAGGGGATAGAGCCGTATTCCGGTATTATAGGCTCCTCGGGGGACTAAGTCAGATCGACTAGGTGGAGAAACCTCTACACGTTATTATAGGTAGTAACCGATTCGTATAGGCATCGCTAAAGCTCCTAATCCTTATAGGTTTTATACGTAATAGGGTTAAAGTACGATATCTTAATAGTTATTTATAGATTAACACGCTATATCGGCGTAGCTAAATAGCTTCTTAAATTGGTAGTAATAGTAAAAGAGTAGATAAAATAGGTACATCTTCACTTAGTAATTAAGACTCTTAATTATTAAATAAAGCGTAGTTAAAATCGTCACAAAACAGGTTAAAATTAATTAAGGCAATTATATACAACTATAACTGTCTCAGACCGTTAGGGAAACGCTGCCACCGTATTTTATATAGTGCAGATTCTGCAAGCGTCCACCCGGATGATACTCTTGGCAATCCGGCCTATTACGTAACCGAAAAGACTGGTCTGTTCGACAGCTTTCAGACTCTCACCCCTTGGGATTGCCAGTTGGATTATGTAAGACGACTTCGTACAAGGATAATAGTATTTCCGTCAACAGAACTGGTGGGGCAGTTATCACTTCCATTTGTTTCGTTACGTTGCAACTTGTACCTTATCAAGGTTGCGGGGGTCGCCAGCAAGTTCCGTGAGGTTGCAGACACAGAATCTTGGCACGCTATCTAATGGAGCTGGCGCATCGCTACTTCGTGCTACCCAGTAACCGTAACCCAGCCACGCAGTCCCAGTCCCTCCTTTTCAACATCACGAGATGCGTCACTGCTGACGACTCCAATCGCCTCCCCAGAGTAACTGACGACGCATTCTTCTATATTATCTGTATTGTATTACGCACGCATCTTTTATGGCAATATCATAACAGCAGCTTCCACCTATCTGGCGTCGTTTCTTTCCTGCGGCCGACTCTTCGGAAGGGAGCTACGGAGCTGCCTGCTTGCAACCGACATCCTCCTCCCGACTCCTCTTCCGCTCCGGCTGCAAGCTCCCGATAGTTGTTTTCTCCACCAGGCACCTACCTTAGCTCTTTATTCACATTCACATTACTCCTGTTACTTGGGCAGTAGTGAAGCAATTGCCCACAATGGCAGCCATGGTTCCAGGCTCTCACACAAAGTCCGTTCCTCTCCGTATTCCCAATGACTTGATCCCGTCCCTAACCACCTCGCCTTCTTTTCTTCTTCTTCGTCTTCTTATCCGTGGCCATGACTGCTAACCTCGTTACCAGATCCGACCAGGAGCTCGCCATCAACATCAGAAAAGCTACAAGCGCTGATGAGTCCGCTCCCAAGAGGAAACATGTCCGCGCCTGCATCGTGTACACATGGGACCATAGGTCTTCTCAAGCCTTCTGGGCAGGTCTAAAAGTGTGAGTGGCCCTCTTTCCCTAGTTTGCTACTTTTCTGTCTGTGTTATTCTCTTCTTTCGTGGCTCCTAGTCTTCTGCGTTGTGGCCTGCTTCTAACGAACGTCTCTTTTCCAGTCAACCTCTCGTCGCCGACGAAGTCCAGACATTTAAAGCTTTAATCACCGTTCATAAGGTTCTACAAGAGGGACATCCCATCACACTAAGAGAGTCCATCTCGCAAAGAAACTGGATCCAGAGTCTAGGCCGCGGCGTAACCGGCGAAGGAATCCGTGGTTACTTGCCCTTGATCAAGGAATATACCTACTACCTCCTCGCGAAGCTGTCCTTTCACCAACAGCATCCCGAATTCAATGGCACCTTTGAGTACGAGGAATACCTCAGCTTGAAGGCTATCAACGACCCGAATGAGGGCTACGAGACTATCACCGATCTCATGACTCTCCAGGACAAGATTGAGCAATTCCAGAAGCTAATCTTCTCCCACTTCCGTGGGGTTGGAAACAACGAGTGCCGCATCTCGGCTCTTGTTCCCCTGGTACAGGAGAGCTATGGCATCTACAAGTTCATCACGAGCATGCTTCGAGCTATGCATTCAAGTCAGGACCCTTCTCCCTTGCCACTTCCACGTGTAGGCTCTCTGGAGCAGCCTTGCTGACATGGAGGTAGCAACCGGCGATAATGACGCGTTGGAGCCTCTCCGTTCCCGGTACAATGCACAGCACTATCGGCTTGTCAAGTTCTACTATGAATGCTCCAACCTCCGCTATTTGACGAGTCTCATCACCATCCCCAAGCTTCCTCAAGATCCGCCGAGCCTCCTGGCCGAAGACGACGAAGCCCCTGCCTTGCCGGCGCGACCGAAACAGGAAATCGAACAAAAGCCGACGCCACCTCCTGCCGAACCGAAAACGAACGAGCCCGATGAGATTTCCGAGTTCTGGAAGAGTGAGCTCGACCGTCAAAACCGTGAGTATGAAGAGCAGCAGAGGGTCCTCGGGGAGAGGCAACAGACACAGCAATTCGCCCAGCAGCAGGCGGCTCTCCAGGCGCAGAGGGAATTCGAGGACCAACAGCGGCGCTTGCTGGAACAGCAGCAGCGCGAGCAAGAAGCCCTGATGCAGCAACAGATGCAGTACCAAACACAGGGTAGGCTCGCCGAGCTCGAACAGGAAAATTTCCGGGCGAGAACCCAATACGAGCAGGACCAGCTCATGCTTCAACAGTACGACCAGAGAGTCAAGGCTTTGGAAGGCGAGCTTGCGCAGGTCCAGAACCATTACGGCCAACAAATCACGAGCAGGGACGATCAGATCCGAGCTCTTCAAGAACAAGTGAACACTTGGCGGACCAAATACGAGGCCCTGGCCAAGTTGTATTCGCAGCTGCGCCATGAACATTTGGAGCTGCTGAACAAGTTCAAGACGGTGCAGCTGAAGGCCGCGTCTGCGCAAGAAGCCATCGATAAGCGAGAGAAGCTCGAACGGGAAATCAAGACGAAGAACCTCGAGCTCGCCGACATGATTCGGGAAAGAGACAGGGCTCTCCACGATAAAGATCGCCTATCGGGCAGCAACAAAGACGAGGTCGAGAAGGTTAAGCGAGAGCTGCGGATGGCACACGACAGGGCAGATAACCTCGAGAGGAGCAAAGGCAACGAACTCTCTTCGATGCTCGCCAAGTACAATCGCGAGATGGCGGATCTAGAGGAGGCTTTGCGCAACAAGTCGCGGGCCCTGGAGGATGCGCAGGCCAAGCTTCGCGAAGGCAACACAGACATCGAGCAGCTGCTGCGCGACAAGGAGGAGGAACTCGAGGTCTACAAGGCCGGTATGGATCAAACCCTCATCGAGCTCAATGAGCTCAAGCAGAACCAGGGCGAGACGGACCATGCACTGGACGGTCAGATTGACGCGCTTATTCTCGCCAACCTGGACAAGATCAACGATATCATCGATTCGGTGCTCCAGACGGGCGTCCAGCGGGTGGATGATGCCCTTTACGAACTAGACTCCACCATGCAAGCGGGCAATCAGAACGCCTCTCCGTCCTACGTTTTGTCACAAATCGAAAAGGCGTCGTCGAGCGCAATGGAGTTCGCAACGGCGTTTAACAACTTCATCGCGGACGGTCCCAACAGCTCGCACGCCGAGCTGATCAAGGCCATCAACGTCTTCGCAGGCGCCATGGCGGATGTGTGCAGCAACACCAAGGGCCTAACTCGACTGGCGACAGATGACAAGAAGAGCGACTCGCTGATGAACGGCACGCGGCAGTCGGCACTGTCGACGGTGAAATTCTTCCGCGGTTTGCAGAGCTTCCGCCTGGAGGGCATGGACCCGATTCAGAAAACAGACGTGGTTATTAACAGCAACAACGATGTGCAGATGAATCTCCAGAAGCTGAACAAGCTCGTCGAGACGTTCGCCCCGGGGGCCGGGAAGTTGACGGGCAAGGGAGACCTGGGCGACATCGTGGACAACGAGCTGAACAAGGCGGCCGATGCGATTGCGGCGGCGGCGGCGAGGTTAGCCAAGCTGAAGAACAAGCCCCGGGAGGGGTACACGACGTACGAACTCAAGGTGCACGACTCGATCCTCGACGCAGCGACGGCGGTCACGAACGCAATCGCGCAGCTCATCAAGGCAGCGACGGTGACGCAGCAGGAGATCGTACAGGCCGGGCGGGGCTCGTCTTCTCGCACGGCGTTCTACAAGAAAAACAATCGGTGGACGGAGGGCCTCATCTCGGCGGCCAAGGCGGTGGCTTCGTCTACCAACAGGCTGATCGAGACGGCCGACGGGGTACTGTCGAACCGCAACAGCCCGGAGCAGCTGATCGTGGCGTCAAACGACGTGGCGGCGTCGACGGCGCAGCTTGTGGCGGCAAGCCGAGTCAAGGCTGGGTTCATGAGCAAGAGCCAGGAGAACCTGGAGCAGGCGAGCAAAGCGGTGGGGGCGGCATGCAGGGCGCTGGTGCGTCAAGTGCAGAACATGATCAAGGACCGCAACCAAGAGGAAGAGCAAGTGGATTACTCCAAACTGGGAGCGCACGAGTTCAAGGTGCGCGAGATGGAGCAACAGGTAAGGAAGACACCACCCCTATCGGGGACGGATGTTGTTTGTCCTCGAGTCCCTTGGGTCACACCGCATTCCGCGCTAGCAAGGCTATGAGAGGATGTTGGGAGCTAACAACGTTGGAACTCTTTTTTTTTTTTACAGGTCGAAATATTGCAGCTGGAGAACTCACTTGCGGCCGCACGACACCGATTGGGCGAGATGCGCAAGATCTCGTATCAAGAGGAGTAGGCCAAAGTCGGTGGGCAGGAGGCCCAGAAGGTAAGTTGCGGACAAATTGGGCTCGATCACACGGCAGCCCCGCAGTCCATAGCGGCCGTAAGTGTGAACAAGAGAGGGATGGAGAGAGAGGGTTGGCGGGGGGGGGGGGGGGGGGGGGGGGGGGGGGGGGGGGGGGGGGGGGGGAGGGGGGAGGGGGGGGGGGGGGGGCCAAGGAGGGAAGGGGAGAAACAGACTCATGCCGCGTTGGGACGCAGTTCAAAAGTCCTTGGGTTACTACTACCCGTTCCTGTTCAGCACATCACCAACCTAGATTCTCTGTTTCAATACCACCAAGGTCACTTTCGCATATTACAGACGAGTCAAGCGCCAGTTCGGAAGTCGCAACATTTTCCATGCTAGGTCGCCTTACGTGCTGATCGATTAACTTTAGGTGTTACTAGCGGCCGGCATGGGATGCGCTAGGCGTCGGGGGTCCGTTGAGCCAGCGGAAGAGCGGGAAATAGCGGAATAACGCGAGATCAAAAGGATGGGAGACTCACCGACGGGGGTTTTCTCGAGGTAAGCGGTTCGGTGTTAAGACGGGTTTGTATTACCGTGGGGGGTCGAATGGCAATTTGGATGGTTTCACGAGGAGGTCCGCGGAGTCAGCGGAGTCTCTCGAGTCGGTTGATGATGCTGGCGACTAACTAACGACCCCGCACTCGGGTTATTTCTTTCCAAAGAGGCCAAGACGACTATGTCTGGGCGGTCGTAGCGTCTTGTCACGGGACGAGGCCTGGCGGAGCGGGGAGAGCAGTGGGTCATGGAAGGGCAAGCAACAAGGGAGGCGCATCATCTGGGAGGAGGCTTGAGGGGAAGACGCGGATCGAGAAGTCGTCTACTTCGTGCGAAGTATTCTTGCTGCGTGGTTCTGAACCGAAGGACTGGCAAATTCATCAAGGTGAGACGATGCCGGGGGGAGGGATCGGCACAACTACGGAAGGGAGTAGAAGACGAAGAAGAGACTGGGACATTGGGAAGGCTAAGACATCGTCGCCAATCAAGTCTAGCTTCTCACAAAGCTCGCGACAAACACATGGAGGAGCGATAGTGGGGCGGGAACGAGAGAAGGGTGATGTTTGGAGTGTCGGCTCATGGGCAAGAGTCCCGAGAGACCGAGAGAGGCGAGTGGATGATGCATCATGATGCACCAACCACCAACGCTAGAGGGCACGCACTAGGCTGGAACGAGAAAGCAGGGACGATCCCTGTGCTTGGCCAAGCGTCAACCTAGACGAGTGCCAAGTGACAGGTCCCCCTGCTTCCTTGTTCGTACGAATGCTTCGTTCGGAAACAGGTCCAACAGCACGGGTAATTTTTACTACTCCCCGTTCTCAGGCTTCCACGGTTCTTGGAAACTGGGAATACTAACCCAAGAGACATGGCAGTTACCATGGAGCCCTTGTTCTGCGGCTTCGCGGGGGATTTCTTCTGCGGATTGCATTTTCATATCCAGGTACCAGGAATCCGGAAAACTGCCCCTTAGCATGTTTTATACGGCCACGCCGCAGAGACATGGAACACCGAACACGACGGAAGCCAAGGCAAGAAAGACAGCAGTACGAGGATAAGAGAAGGCAGAGAAGGCAGAGAAGATAACCGGAAAAACTACGGATATTAAGGGGCGAGCTGGACGAAATGCCCCACGATACCAATGACTTTGAATGGGTCTCACAGTGTCAGTCTCATTTGTTGGATTAACGGGCATGTGATCCGGCCGGAGCCGAGATTCAATAGATGTATGATTGTATTCGTTTTATAAAGGAAAGAAGAATAGGAAGGTGTGGGTATTCTAAATATATCTACCCCTTTTCCACGCGAGGAATATAGGGCTAGTCTAGCTAATAGAAATATAGAAAATAGACTTACGTGTTTTTAGTGCGATATACCCCTTAATTACTATACTCTAATTAGCTTAGTAATTACTTAGTCTAACCTCGCCGGCGCTTTATAGTTAATCTTAAAATAGCTTTAAAGAGTAGTTATGGATTCTTTAAAGTCGAGTTAAAAGGCAGGTAAAGGAGCTATAAAATAAGAAATAGTAATAATAATAGTAGTAAATAATAAAGGAAAGTGCTATTTAAAGTAATTAGTAGATAGGGGAGGTGCCGGATATAAATAAAAGGGTTTTTAGGCTTTTCGTAGCCTTCTTTTCCCTCTTATAACCACGATCTTATTTTTTAACGATTTTTCGTGGATTTCGTGCCTCGCCTAAATTTCGGACTTTTTTCTTCTCTTCCCTCCTTAAATAGCCGCTCTTCGTCCCTTAAACGCGCTATAGTAAGTTACCGGAGCTCTGATTCTTAATATAGGTGCTAATAGTGCTTATTTAGGCCCCCTTAACCCGTGCGTCTAGTGCTAAGGTCGCTAGTACTAGTCTGACTAAGCCTTCCGGTATAACTAAGACCCCCGGTAAAAAGCCTAATATAAGTGCTCCGGTCTTTTTAGCTTTATACTTTCGTTTACGGTCGTAAGGCTCCGGTTACTAATAGAGTAGTAGACTTCTAAGAAGCCGACTAAGAAATCGACTAAGGCCCTTAATCTAAATTTTATAGCTATCCCCCTTAATCCCCCTTATATATAGTATATAAAGGGTATTTATTCTGGAAAATAAAGCTCGTTTAAGACCTATATTACGATTAAGGGGCGCTTAACTCGTTACTATAAGTGTTATAACAGTAACTATATATACTCCTAGGTATAAGTTCCTACCCCTTAGTTATCGAGATTTACGATCGTGGATAAGAGCTCCAGTTTATATCCGGATTAAGAATCTATGCTCCGGGGCGTTCTAATTACTAATAATAGATCCTAGTTACTTTAGTATACTCCCTCTTATTAATATATTAGTTAACGCCGTGTCCGTTCGTAAGATTAGACCTGGTTCTCCGGATAATAACTATAAGGTACGTTTTATCGTCTTATTCCTTAATTAACGTGCTCCGGCTAACCCTTCCGGTATAGTTCCTGGCTAAATTAAAGCAGTATAATAAGCAGGAAATTAAATATCTAGAGGACGATAATACTAAGCGCTTTTTCGACGAAAAAGCTCTTAAGTGTGTCCTTACGCCCGGGGAAGAGGGCTTAACTAAGCCTAGTTTTTCGGCTTATTTTAAGAGTTTAGTGGAAGAGGTTATTACACGTCGCCTTAGCGACTAACTCTAGTAGTAGTAGTAGTAGTAAAATATTACGCCTACTATGGTTTCCGGAGCCCCTTAGGGGTAAATTATCGCGCCGGTTATCGAAAATAGCGCTATTATTAATAGTGGTTCGGCTATAGTAGGTGGTAGTAAGGTTAGCGGTAGCGATAAAACCGCTACTCCGGTCGCTTAAAATAGAGCGTAGTAATAGTATCTAGGTTCGCCGGACAATTTTTTTTATATTTTACTTTTAGCTTTTAGGAGTTAGTATATAGCTTAGGTGTTAGGTTAGTACTATAAAGAGATACTACTTTTACTTTTACCTTAATTCTACTATACCGCCGGCGTGCGGTGCGCCTCCGGCACCTAATTCTTAACTTTAACTTCTTCGGTCTACCCCCTCTATATACTTATTATAGTAAGATATACGCGGAAGATCTCGAACTTTTATTATAGGAGTACCTTTATTAATCCGTTTATCGGTATAAGGCTTATAGCTAAATAAACCACCCTAAAGATCCTTTTACCGTGTTCCTGTTCAACCTATCAGCGTTAAATATCTATATATCTAAGCCGGGTTTTGATCCTATAGCCGTCGTCTACTATAAGCCTAATTATTTAAGTGTTATCGTAATTAATATCCTAAGGGGATTTGGGATTAAAGCGTATCTCTACGAATAGACGCTTTAATCCTACTATTTCCTTCGCGACTTACTCTAGAGCGAGTAGCTCTGCTTCGGTTATAGATATAGTAACGGTTATTTACCTTATTACTTTCCACACTACTAAACCTTTAAATAAGCTAATAAGATAGCCTTAGGAAGATCGTTATATATCGATATCGTTAGTAAAAGAGGCGTCGCTTATAATCACTATAGCCTATAAAGTAATACTCGATCCGTACTAAATCGAGAGGTCCTTAGTTATATATAAATAGCGGATAGCTTAGTCCGCTACCTTATAATACTTCGGGGAGGGATTTCTAAGAAAGCGGGAAAGGATAAATACCGTAAAAGATATATCAGGACGTATTATTACTACTATATATAGTAACGATCCGACCTTTTCCTAGTATAATTTAACCGGTTAAGCCGTAGCTTCGCCTTCCCTTTTCTAGTATTCTATAACGGGAACGGGAATCGCTAGGTATATATTAATAGCGTTTAGATTAAATCTAGCTATAATATTTTTAATATATAAGTCGTGGCTAAGTAGAACCTTATGCCAGGGGCGATCTCGCGTGATCTTAATCCCTAAAAACTATTCTGCGTTACCTTTTTCTAATACTTCGAACCTCTTTCTAATACCGTTAATAATCTTAAAGGCGTTTATAGCCGTGTTCTTATAGAATAAGATAAGGATATCGTCTATAAAGAAGATAATAAATATATCTTAAGCTGCTATATAAAATAAGCATAGCTCTTCTTTACTAGCCTTTATCCCTAGATCCGATAACCTTACTATAAAGGTCTAGAACTATAATTAAGGTGAATCTCGTAAGCCGTAGAGTGCTTTATTAAGCTCTAAGCACTTATCTAGCTACTTAAACCTATCTAGAAGCTTATATATAACGGGCGTACCTATTCTATTCCTCTCGGCGTTAATAAAGGCGTTAACGATATGTAGTTACTTAATCTTTAGGCTAAATTAAGCGGCTAAAGCTATAATAATATAAAAAGACCTCGTAGCGAGCGTTATTATATAGGTTCCCTTAATTGTTAAGCTTTCCTAGAAATCCCCTCGGATATATAACCTTATCTTATATCTCTTAAGATACCCGCTTTAGTCGAACTTATAGGTAAATACCTATTTAAGTGGAAGAGGCTTAGA